GACCAAACCAAGCAAAAACAGAGTTAAGGCAGGTCTAAAAAGTCACAAAAACATGCTCAAACAAGGGCTCAAGAAGATGGAAACACATGCTCATTTGGTGAGCCATTAACACAAACCGGCAAAAGCAAGGGAGGGGGTACAACCCCCACCCATTTGGGACCTCAAAACCCCATCCCCACCACTGAAATTCCTCTGGAATTCAGTGGTTAAAGGGCCAAGAAAAGACCAGCCTGGAGGTCAACAAAAGTGGCCCAAAACAAGGCAAAACAAAGCTCAAAAGGGGGTAGATCACCCCCAACACCAAAATGACCTCAAACAAACATGTTAGGGACTTAAAAACAAGACTTTTTTTAGTTGAGAGGTAAGTCTAAAACAGCATGCAAATATGGCAGAACAAGCTATGAAAACAAGGCTTAAAAGAGGTAAAAAGATCACCCTTGAAGCACAGCAGCAAATCAGCAACTTTTGGACCAAAAAAGGCTTCAAATCACCCCAAAAATCACCTCCAAGGACCTCAGCTCAATAAAGGTGGTAGAGAACTAGGTGTTTGTGTGCAAAAGTGCAACGAAAATGCACTTTTGAGCACAAACAAGCCCTAAACCTTAGAGAGAGAGGCAGAAAATGTAGAGAGAGAGAGAGAGAGAGAAAGATTTTTTTGCTCAAAGTTGTATATCTCTTTTGTGTTATGTGAGAGAGCTTGATTGATATAGATATATATCAATCTGCAGCTCCTCAGAACACTCACGTCCAGGTATGGGCTGGGGTATGGCCTAGAATGACAGCTGTGCCAGCTGTCTACAGAGATATCTGTTGAAAACCACACTTGGCCGACCGGCCATCAAAGTGGCCGACCGGCAGTTAAACTGGCCGGCCGGCCATCACATTTGGTCGATTGAACAAGCAAGGTGGCCAGTGGGCAGGAGGCTTGGCCGATGGGTGGGAGGTTTGGTCGATAGGCCATTCCTTTCCCTCAGGAACACATCCACAAGCTCTTGGTCCGTAACCAAGCACAAAACAGAGAAGTTAAGAGATTCTAAGGCAAGGCGCGCAGCCAAGACTTTTCGAAACTCAAAACAAACACAAGCATGGATAATCACCGCGTGTTCAAACGATTACGTCTAAGCCTTGAAGCCGGTCAAAAATGGGGTGTCTACAGTTACCCCTCTTTGACACAACTCGGAAGTCATAAGATGACGGGAGTAAATGTCAAAGCCCGGAGACGACCCATTTTTGACAAGGCCAAAGACTTAGACAAACATATAAAACAACAAAGGTATGAGCCCGCAGGCTGGGGCAAAATGCAAAAGATATGCACAATGTGGAACATAACTTATGATCATGCCATGAGAGATGAGATGAAACATCTAGATGCAAGTGATATGCAAAGAAATGCTACAACAAGCTTACACGAAGCGAACAAACATGGACCACACCACATTTCACGCAGAAAGGATGTAAGAAAATTATGTAATCTTAACCACAAACCACGCAGGAAGGGCAAAGAACACGCAATCCTCGGGAGCAACGATCATATGCGACACACACCCGCAACATGATATAAAGAGTAACGATCATATGCGACACACACCCGCAACATGATATAAAGAGCAACGATCATATGCGACACACACCTAAACCATGACATAAAGAGCAACGATCATATGCGACACACACCCGCAACATGACATAAAGAGCAACGATCATATGCGACACACACCCGCGACATGATATAAGGAGCAACGATCACATGCGACACACACCCGCAATATGATATAAGGAGCAACGATCACATGCAACACACACCCGCAACATGATATAAGGAGCAACGATCATATGCGACACACACCCGTAACATGATATAAAGAGCAACGATTATATGCGGCACACACCCGCAAGATGATATAAAGAGCAACGATCATATGCGACACACACCCGCAACATGATATAAAGAGCAACGATCATATGTGACACACACCCGCGACATGATATAATGAGCAACGATCATATGCGAACTCACCCGCAACATGATATAATGAGCAACGATCATATGCGACACTCACCCGCAACATGATATAATGAGTAACGATCACATGCGACACACACCCTCAACATGATATAAGGAACAACGATCATATGCGACACACACCCGCAACATGATATAAAGAGCAACGGCACACACCCGCAATATGATATAAAGAGTAACGATCATATGCGACACACACCCGCAATATGATAAACAGAACAACGAGCGGTGTAAACATCGGAGCATGCCCCAATGTTTCTAACCGAAACAAGAATGAAATAAACTATTGGGGAAAGATAATGATCTTACTTGAGATTCCTCTGAATGAACTGTTCATACCACGTCGTCTGGCCGCACCAGCTCTGAATGATCTGTACATACAATATCGTTTGGCCACACCAGCTCTGAATGAACTACACACGCAGTGTTGTCTGGTCGCACCGGCTCTGAATGAATCGTACATACAATATCGTCTGGCCGCACCAGCTCTGAATGGACTACACACACAATGCCGTCTGGTCGCACCAGCTCTGAATGGACTACACACACAATGCCGTCTGGTCGCACCAGCTCTGAATGAACTACACACACAATGTTGTCTGGTCGCACCAGCTCTAAACAAACCATACATACAATATCGTCTGACCGAACCAGCTCTGAATGAACTACACATACAATGTCGTCTGGTCGCACCAGCTCTGAAGGAACTGCACATACAATTCCGTCTCTCTCAGAGGGTTCATCACAACGTATTTCAAAAAGGACACAGCTCGACCATAACGGTTTTTGTTGAATCTTGCACAAGTTCGGACCTCCGGGGAGATACCAATGAACTTTTCTTGTACTTTCTCGAAACCTAAGGACTCAGAGCAACCTGAAATCACACAGGAGAGACACTGGGCATCTGAAGATCACCAGGGGGGGCCATCGGCCACTTGTTGGCCACCAGGTAGGCCATCGGCCAAAAGTGGCGGCCAGTCGGCCAACAATGGCAGATTCGGGGCATTTTTTCCATTTTGGTTCGGGTCTCTTTATGTACACCTCCACCTTTCATTTCCTCACACCTCCAAGTCTGAACCCTCTCTCTCTCTCTCTCTCTCTCTCTCTCTAGGTGCTTACCCTCTCTAGATCCGGCATTTTTGCGCGTTTTCCAACGCCCCACACACACTTTATTCGCTAAACCTCTTTGTTTCCAACACTTTGAACCGATTGGAATTTGTTTTCGGTGCTTGTTCTCGCACTTTCACCATTCTAGGGTTGTTTCTCATGAGTTTCTCTCGAGGTTAGTACACTTTTTCCGGCTTTGACTTTTTTTTCCATTTTCCACCCCTCGGGGCTGACTTTTGGTTGACTTTTCGCATTTTTGTCCATTTTGCATGTTTTTGCTCATCTTTTCCTCTTCGAGATGGCGGACGATATGCCACAGGGCGGGGCTCCCCCGAAGATGGATGTCGACCCCGACTTCGAGCCTTTGCCACTTAGCATTAGGCCGTTCGACCCGGCGACTTACGAGCCTGCAGTACACGTGCTGCCTCCAGATAGCTTGCGTCAGTTCAGGAGCTTTGCATGGGGTGCTCCTGTAGACCTCCAGCTATGCGAGATGGAGTCTCATTTATCCTTTGGTGCTGCCGAGGTATGCTCTTTCATACTCTTCTTTTCTGCATTGTAGGCCTTACATCTCGGATAGCCGACACTGCCCTTTATCTGATCATCACAAGCACATTTGTAGACCACATGCTTAACTCACCATGAGTGCACCCATACATGATATCTGTGTCAGTTTGAACTTATGCACACACACTGCATTTTTCTCAGTTCTAGACGTATCCAAACACTGCATTTCTGACACTGCTTCACATCTATTTGTCTTGAATACAGGGAGATGCCCATGCCTTCCGGGGGTATGGGAACACTGCGGCTCGAGGCTGGTACCTGGAGCTACCTGATGAGGTGCGCCATATTGTTGATGAGGCCGATTTCGGCATTTTCTGTATGGGGCTTTCACGCCTCACTGCTAGTAGGCCGCTTCTGGGCGCACTAGTGGAGAGATTGTGGGACACCACCGATTCTCTTCATTTTTCCACGGCTGGGGAGATGACGATGACTCCCTTTGATTTCTCCATGCTGACTGGCATTGGAGTGGGGGGTGATCCGATCCCCTTCGACGCTGATATGGGTGAGTGGGATGCTGCCCAGATCTTTCTGCTCAGTATCCGGCCGCCTCTCTTGACCAGGTTTTGTGAGGTACTCCTAGTTCGAGGACCAGTTTAGAGGGTAGACTCCGACGACTCTTGAGGAGGCGGAGCAGTATGCCAGAGGATTCTTGATGTTCATGCTGGGCACTACTCTCTTTGCCGACCGGGAAAATACAGTTGGCCTTTATGTGCTGAGCGCGTTGGTGGATGTCACCCGCATCTGGCGCGTTGACTGGGGTGGCGTAGGCCTGGCCACACTGTATGGCTATATGAGCACATCGTCTCGCCACAGCAGACATCTGCTGAGGGGTTACTGGCGAGCCTGGGAGGTACACTTTCCCTTTCTTCTTTACAGTTCTACTTTCAACTATCTGTACACTGCATACTGCACACACAATCTGCTTTACACTCGCTGTACACTACATACACTACACAATACATTGCACACCATTCTCTGATTTCTACTTTATCTACCTACTGCCTTACTGATAAGCATGCTCATTATTGCCCCGTTACATTCTGCAGCTGTGGGTATACGCCTACTTCCCTAGGCTTGCTCCAGAGCCAGAGATAGAGACGCCACCTGTCGTCCCGTATTCTCACAGGTACGACGGGAGGTGTGAGCAGAGGCCTCAGGGGACCTTCTTGTTCTTTCGGAGGTACTTTGACACCATCGCCACAACTGAGGTATTTCTAACCTTTACAGTTCATCTAAGCTTCGCTTTGCATTGTACTTTCAATATCAGATAACAAACTGTATATCCTGTCATTTGCAGATCACTTGGCAGCCCTGGGCTGTATTGCCCGAGCGGGACCAGTACGCAGGTGCTTGAGAGACCGCCCGGTTCCGGGTTCTGCTTGAGGGTCCGGTCTGCCGAGCCTGGTATTTAGGCGAGCGCTTCCTACAACAGACCCTCGGCTTGCCTGAGCCGGTAGTCCCGATACCACCTCTGATGCACATGAGATACATAGAAAGGTACACCCCTCAGGAGATGATCGATTTCACGATTGGATGGGATGCAGATTTCTTCAGAGATGAGGGAGACTACGCAGCCTTCATTCAGACCTATCTGATGCGGCCTCTGGCCAGTACCCAGCGAGCTGATAGAGAGAGAGCTGCAGCACCCGCGACAGGGGCGGGAGTGTCGAGGCCAACTCGGGCCCGCGACAGAGGCTTCAGAGGGGACGGAGAGCAGAGTGGCCAAATCTGCCCACTATGATGACATGTCGAGGGCAGACTGGAGAGACTTACCAAATTCCTATCGCTCCTCCCCCAGCTGACCACGAGTTTGTCGGCATTCGAGGCTCGACTCCAGTATGTGACATACTTTGCATTTTGTACAGTCATTTCATTTCATTTGATATCCCGTAGAATACTAATCACTTCAACACTTTTACAGGCTTCTATCGAGTACACTGGACAGGCTCTGGAGCTGTCGGCTTAAGTGATGGGGATGCTGCAGAGGAGCATGGACCTGCTGGGCATTTATGGCATCCCGGTTAGTTCTTTCAACTTTAGTTCCAAAACTCTGCGTAATTGATGTAACTCATACATTGCTCACATCATTCATACCCTGTACTCATACATTGTTCACGACAACCACACACTGCTCACGGCATTCATACATTGTACTTGCACACTGTTCACGGCAACCACACCTTGTAATCACACACTGCTCACGGCATTCATAAACTGTACTCAATTCCATACTCAGCTTCACTGATGTATTTGCCAATTTGTTCTTTTCAGGCCTCATTTCAGATACCAGCCGCAACGGGTGCTCCAGCGGGACCATCTGCACCTGCCCGAGGAGGAGAGAGAGCGGGGCGAGGGATTTCAGTGCGCAGCCGTAGCAGGGCTGGGCGTACTCAGTCTGGGAGCAGCTCACGAAGGCCTGTCTCGGATGATGACGAGTCTGATGAGGAGACAGTGAGCCCGCAGTCAGAGTCCTCTGAGGATGGAGATGAGACCGGCGGCAGCTCAGGTTCAGATTCAGACGGCGTAGCTGACGGTGATGAGCCTGGACCTTCGTCTAGGAAGAGGACGAGGAGTGACTCCCGCTCTTGAGGCGCCGGTGCCGATTCAGATGCTGCTCTTTTATTCCCATTTCTTTGTTTTTCTGTTTGCTTTATTTTCCTTTATACTAGGAGTTTTTGCACATTGTACTGGGTTAGGCAGATTTATGTTCTTCAAAACTTTGTACTTTTGCAAATGATGGAATGAAAACAGCTTTTTTTTCTTTAAAGTGTTGCATACATCGCATCGCATCACATCGCACCATACCACATGTGAATGAGATGAATTTTGTTTGAAAACTACACACTCGAATTGCATTGATCAGGTAGTGAACCAACTAACAAAAAAGAGGGAACAAAACAACTCGATAAGCAAAACAACAAACTTGACATATTAACCAAGTGTAAACACAACTCGATAAGCAAAACAAGAAAACAAAATACAACTTGATAAACAACTGTATAACAACTCGATAAACAAATGTACAACAACTCGATAAACAAATAGTACAACAACTCGAGGGTCAAACTGAGGTAACACAGGCGTGATTTTGCAAGATCATCACCGAAAGGCCTCTTGAAGTGGAACCAGTCACCAGATATCCCCATACTCAACACATGGACAGGTCAGAGAACAGGGGGAGAGGCCATCGGCCATGATAAGAGGCCATCGGCCATGGTTAGTGACCATCGGCCCAAAAAGAGAGACAATCGGCCAAAAAGATGGCCGGTCGGCCATGATCAGTGGTCGGTCGGCCAACAATGGCAGGGACCTCTAGAATGTTGACACCTGTCTTCCACTCAAAGCCTTATCTTCTACAAAAGTCCCAGCTTCATAGTTTCTTCAGTTCACTACTGTTTTTGCTCAAAATGGAGACATTTCTTGTTCAAAATCTCTCAAATTGGATGGCCAACTTGGATGGCTCGGAAAAGCTGAATTTCCGGGGCTTTGGGATAAATGCACTATTCACGCTGAGCCGCACTCCGCTGCATTTTCCGTTCCTCCATGCCGCGGCAAGATGTTGGAATCTGGTCACTTATGTTTTCAGCTTTGGCGGACAAGAGATGTGCCCCACTCTTGAAGACTTTCGAGCTTTGATGGAGTCCGACCGTGAGGAAGAGATCTTGTCCCAATTCCGTTTCGGTCACATCCAAGCCCTAGGACGGATGTGCGGGCTTACTTCTCATGACGCTCGGTCGTTGATTCATGACAGGGAATTGGACATCCCCAGCTTGGTTCATCGATTTTCTGATGCCGGTGACCGTGGTGACCATCATTGGCAGGGTTTTTGGCGACATGCGCTCTGCTTGTGCGTGTTGTCTCATTTCTTGCTTGCTCCAGGCTCCGGAGGATTCAGCGTCCGGTTGATTGAGGTTGCCCAGGGTTTGAAAGAGGGCAAGAGCTGCATTGCCATGACGCTAGCTGAAACACTGATAGGCTTGGATGCTATTCATCGCCGAGAGACGACTAGATTCACGGGGAGTCCACTACTATTGCAGGTAATGTTTCCCTCCTTCCTCACATATATATCCCTCACATCACTCGGCCCTTAGGCTCGATTTTTCTCTCAAATCCCTTTTCTCACTTTTCTCTCAACTTACACCTCTCTATTCTTTAGTCTCTCATTTTTTATCCCTCCCCAGATATGGTTGATGGATAAGTTGAAGGTTGTGGACTCATGCCCAGAATATTTAGCACGCGGCTATTTCTTCCGAAAGTAACTAGTCAATGCCCCTGATGAGGAATGGTGGCGCGAGTGGATGTGCAGTCTGTCCGCCGTCGATATTGTCTGGCGCTGCCCTAGGCTCAATCCACCAGCGATGAGTTATAGCATGTCCCGCCAACCCAGAATTCAATTGATCGGCCTGACTCAGAGTGTCTTTTATTTTCTGTTCCAATTCCGGCGCCAATTTGGCCATGATCAGACCTGCCCAGAAGGAGAGATAGAGTACCCTGCTGCATTTCCGGTTCGAGGCTCACATCTAGCTCGGTATGCCGCAGCATGGAGGACAAGAGAACTTCTGGCCCCCGCTCCCACTTTTAGTTGTATCCTTTTTGATGAGTGTATAGTTTGGCTGAATGAAGAGGCACAGACCGGGCCTACCTTAGCATCGGAGGCTTCCACGAGCTCTGGGAGGGGGCGTAGGAACACCTGATTTGACTATGCCCCAAATTTATTGCTTTATCAGTACTTTCAAGTTTTCTTTATGAATGTAATAAAAAGCAACTTCAATTTGTATTCAAGAGTAGGAGAACTCTGTATTGAAATCAACATAATTGAAGGTTGTGGGTACTGAAAATTTTCCGTTTGGTCCAAAAATGGTCTAAGTTGTAAAAAGATTAATTTGAGCAAAATCAACTTTTATTAAAACTTTTCAAAACCATTTTCGATATGGATCAGAACTGGACACGCCCGAGATCTACCACTGAGATGCACAACCCCGGATCTTATCCACTGGAAAGTTGCCCCTAGTCTGAACAACACTGCACTGGAGATCACAACCGAGCTCTTGAATGTAGAATAGACAAAGATGACCAAGCTGATTACATGGACAAAGTTGATTTGGAGGTGTTTATGGCTGGACTTCAGAATGAAGTTGCCTACGTATCCCAAAGATGGGAATCAAGCCTTACGTAGTTCGGTCCGGGTTCACTCGTGTATTAACGCTCTCCTTTTGCGCTCTAACTTTTGCCAAGGCTGCCCTTTCTGGGTTTTCAACCTTGTGAGCTCAGTTTTTCTCATTTCAAATTTTCTATGCTCTAACTTTTGCCTAGGTCGCCCTTTCGGGTTTTCGACCTAGCGAGCCACTCAGGGTTGATATTTCTTCAACTTGTCCATGTTAATCGGTTGGGAGAACTCTAGGCCATCTAGGTCCATCAAAATGACAGCTCCACTTGACCAGATTGACTTGATGATGTAAGGGCCAGTCCAATTAGGTCTGAACTTGCCCCTAGGGTCGTGGATGGGAGCTCAGTTGTCTTTAAGCACAAGATCCCCTTCTTTCAAATTCCTAGACTTAACCTTCTTGTTGAAAGCCCTAGCAATTCTCCGTTGATATCCCTGAACATGGTACAGTACTTTCAGCCTTTTTTCATCAAAGAGCATGAGTTCTTCGAACCTGCTTTATTGCCAATCTGCCTCGGTTATCTAACACTCAGCCAGTACCCGTAACGACGACACCTCAATTTCGATGGGCAACACAGCCTCCATTCCATAAACCAAAGAATACGGAGTTGTGCCAGTAAAAGTTTGAATCGAAGTCCAGTAGCCCCACAGAGCAAATCGCAGCTTATCTGGCCAGTCTCGGTAAGTTTCCACCATTTTCTGCAGAATGTGCTTGATGTTCTTGTTGGCGGCCTCAACAGCTCCATTGGTTTGCGGCCGATGTGTAGATGACTTATGAAAAGCCACGTTGTATTTCTCCAACAAGTCGATCACCTCCTTCTTGAAGTGGGAACCATTGTCCAAAATAATCTCATTCGGGACCCCGTAGCGACAGATGATGTTGTTCCTGATGAACTTAGCAACATGAGATGCTTTCAACACCGCATAAGATTGGGCCTCAACCCACTTCGTGAAGTAGTCTATCGCTACGAGAATGTACTCATGCCCATTTGACCCCTTCGGAGTGACAGCTCCAATTACATCAATTCCCCAAACTGAAAACGGCCACGGGGAAGTCATGTTGTACAACTTTGACGGCAGAATGTTCATGCGGTTTGCATGGATCTAACATTTGTGGCATCGCCAAACAAAGCCAATACAATCCTCCATAGTTGACCAGAAATAACCCTATATGAGAATTTTTCTGGCTAACATCACCCCGTTCATATGCGCTCCGCACTCTCCTCCATGAATGGCCTCCATCAGGCGCTTGGATTCTTCAGCATCAACACACAGTTTATGTATCTCGAGATAACCCCTCTTGTACAGTTTACCCCCGTAGATGATGAACTGAGCAGCCATTTTTTGAATTGCCCCCTTATCCTTGGCATTTGCCCCTAGTGGATACGTCTCCTTCTCCAAGAAGTTCCAAATGTCATAATACCAGGGATTCTCATCTTGTACTTTATCTATTGCAGCAATCAGCTCATAAGCCGGCACATATCTCTGTTCAATGATGATCGGATGCATCCGGACTCCAAAAGGGATGTCTATCATGGAAGATAGAGTTGATAAAGCGTCAGCGAACCTGTTGTTCTCTCTTAACAGATGCGTGAAGGTCAACTTCTCAAACCTGGGGATCAGCACGTTTAGGGTTTGATGATAGATTTTCATCCTTTCTTCCTTAACCTTCCAGTCTCTTTTTGCTTGAGACACAACCAGGTTCGAGTCCCCGATGACGTCCAACATTTTGCCCCTAGTTCCAAGGCAGCTTCTAAACCAGCGATACACGCCTCATATTCTGCTTCGTTGTTTGATACTTTGAACCAGAGTTTGAACGCTAAGGGTATGAGGGAATTGTCGGGTGCTATCAGCAACACTCCTATCCCATATTCGTACTGATTAGACGCTCCATCAAAGTACATAGTCCAAATCTCTTCTTCGACATGTAGAATGGCCTCATCCGGGAACATATACTCAACTGCTTCATCCCCTTCCACTGGGTGATCGGCTAGGAACTTCGCTACCGCTCTCCCTTTCACAGACTTGCGAGTCATATGTTTCAGATCAAATTTGAAAAGCAGAAGCAACCAACGAGCTAGCCTACCCGTAAGTGCCGGTTTCTTAAAAAGATATTTGATGGGATCTAGTCTTGAAACCAGAATTACAGAATGAGCTAACAGGTAGTGCCGCAGCTTCCTGGTAGCCCATACCAAGGCCAGACAAGCCTTCTAAAGTGGAGTGTAACGGGTCTCATATTCCAGCATCTTCTTGCTCAGGTAATAGATGGCCTTCTCCACTTTGTCCTTAGACTCTTGTGCAAGCATGCAGCCCATTGTCGTGTCGATTACTGACAGATACAAAATCAACGGCTTCCCCGGTTTTAGCGGTGACAACACAGGCGGATTCTGTAAATATTGCTTGATCTGTTCAAAAGCAGCTTGGCATCGGCCGTCCCACTGGAACTTCTTCCCTTTCTTCAGGAGGCCAAAAAGTGGTTCACAAGTTAAGGTTAATTTTGCAATAAACCGTCTTATGAATTGCACTTTACCTAGAAAGCCTCGCACCTCTTTTTCTGTCTTTGGTGGTG